AGAACTTATATTGCCAACTTTTTTTTTTTTTTTTAGATATTAATATGCTTTTTGATAGCCACCCAGTGTCTTCTTTTTCTAGTCCTCTATCTGGTTTACTTTTCTGAAGATCCTGCCTTTACAAGTATAGCTTGTCAAGTTCTGGCTTTTCCCTATCTAATTTCTAGAATATAAAAATTATTTCCCAGAGTTGTGATGGATATCTATACCTTTATATTGAAAGGAAAACAGGTTGTCGAATGAGAAAATTTAATAATGATAACAATAAATCCTCAAATGTGTACTCAATAAATTATAGAATATAACAATTTTTAAAGCTATTTGAAAATCTCAAGTAAAACCTGAGGTTACAACAAAATGCAGGTCATATTTCTCACCAGTGGCACTGAATTCTAAAAGGCAATGGACATACTGCTTTAAAAGACTTATGTGAGGCTAATTTTGAATGAAGGCTTCTCTGCCAAATCAGACTATTCATAATATAAAAGCAAAATAAAAATATTCTCATATTTGTGAAGTTTCAGAAATATTTTAGAAAATACTAAATTAAAATAAAAAAATAAGAGAGAATATAAAATACATGAGAGAATTATATTAAAACAGAAATGTAATGAAAGAATAACTAGAATTACAGTTGTTCCAAAGGCCCAGAAAATAAGCTTTTATTTTACTTTTTAATAAGCAGCATAATTTTAAAAAGTGGATAATATAACTAATATTAAAAATAAGACATTTATTTTTATGTAGAAAATTGAAAAAAGAATTTTAATCTTTAGATTTAACTTTTACTCTAAAAGTCATTTGTAAAACTAATAATAAAATATAGAGCACAATTGAGTGTGGCATGATTTTTGAGTAGGAATAGAAATGTAACATAAAAAGATATTCGACCTGATATATAAATATTTTTTCATAAAACGTTATCGATTTAGAGACTGGATTGTATTCTTAATATATAATTTTAACAATCCTATTTGATTTTCAATTTAATAGTTACATAATCATAATGTTTGATATTGTTATTATTGTTTTTTGGAATTGACCTGTAGACAAAAACGAGAAAGATGTATAATTGCATAATTGGGTGATGTAAAAGCAATGTAAAGTTAGGAATTAGGTTGAGAATAGAAACTCCTAATATCTTAAATTTAAATGACTCAAATCAAATAACATACAAGGAGGTTTAAGTATATTACTTATGGCTGTAAATGAGCATGATAGAAGAATTAATAATATAGCCAAGAAATGATCTGTGCTGAATCAATAGAAACTTTGGTGGAATCAATACAATCAAGATATGTATCAGTTTAATATCTGGAATATCAAGCCAATAGAATTATATAAGAATGATGAAAAAGTGTTCATCTCTTGGGTGGAGGACAGAGGGTAGCATGGAGGACAAATATTTTTTCTATGTAATATCTTTACAGATTAATTGTTTTGCAAGTGCAGTTATTACAAAATGTAAATTAATTTTTATGTAAATAGCTTTACATGTAAATTGGTTAGATGTACATATGCTTGGATATATTAACTAATTAATTTTAATTAATAATAAGTGGGAAATTTTTAAAGAATCTCTTTCATATCCTGAGCCTTCAAATTTGTGTAAAAAGGGAAGATTTCTTCTGATTGCAGAACTTCTATGCCTCTCCTATCATAGAGAGCAGGCTCATAATTGACTTGAATTTAAATGTCACTTATGCCATTTACTGGCTACAAGGCCTCTTGCAAATTATTTAACTTTATAAAGAGTCAATCATTAATCTATATAATGGACATTATAACACTGACCTCATTGCTCTAGTATCAAGATTAAATGAGATAATAATCTGAAAGGTCTAGCACAATGCTATATACATATCTAGTAAGCAAATGTGTTGATGTTGTGGTTGAAGATATTAGGAGTTATCAAACTACAATGAGGCTCTACTTCACACTAATTAGTATGGCTGTATTGAAAAAATCAGGGATTTAAATAGATGTGTGTATGCCAATGTTCATTTTAGCATAATATCACAATAGTCAAAAGGTAAAAACAAACCAAGTGCCCATAAACAGATGAATGGGTAAGAAAAAATTTGTACATACATATAACGGATATTATTCAGTCATAAAAATAATGAAGTTCTGATACCTGCTACAATGTAGGATGAATCCTGAAAACATGATGCATATGAAATAAGCCAGATATGAAAGGAAAAATGTATGACTCCATTTATGTGAAATACCTAGAATAGGATATTTCAAAGACAGGAAGGAGATTAGAGGTGACTGGGGGCTGAGAATTACTGCTTGATGTTTATAGAGTTTCTATTTGGATTGATTAAAAAATTTAAAAAAATAGAGATGACAGTTGAACAACATTATGAAGATAATTAGTGCCATTGAATTGAACACTTAAAATGGTTAAAATGACAAATATTGTGATATATATTTTACCACAAATTTAAAATATTAATAATGCAATGTCAAAATTGTTGAATAGTACATCTTAAATGGATGAATTGAATAGTATGCGAATTATATTTCAAAAAAGCTGTTTAAAAATATCAAGAGTGATATTCCAAATATTTAATAATACTAAACCATGATGGTCAGCCGATCAGAATGGATACTGGCCATTTCATTGTACTAATTTACAAGCTAAATAGATCAGCCTGAGTGTTACATTCCAGTCTTCTGCAGGAAAATAATCTGAAGTATTTTAATTAAATCTTATCTTACTATCCTTTCAGATGGTCTGCATTTTAAAAACTTGAAAAAAATCACTTTTCATACATTTAGAATAAAGATTCACCAACTGTAGAGCTAAATCTGGCCTGCCTCCAGTTCTGTAAGGTCCATAGGCCTTCTATATAAATGCCAACCTTTCTAAGTTCTACTTTACAGCTTGCTAAGGGTCAACACAGCAGCCCTGCCATGAGGGTCAGGATTTATGAAGTGTGAGACAAGGGGCAGGGGCATCTCAGCAAATGAACCTGACTCTCTGCCAGGTTCATTTGCTGAGAGGAAGTTGGGCGATGTACACACAGAGCTGGTAATCATAGCAGCAACGGATGAAATATGAGACGGGTAGGTATGAGACAATTCAAACCAACATTCGAGAGCTAATTTACACAGAAATTTCAACAAATAATTAACTAGAATTATTGTCAAACACTCTCATATTCTCCAAAAAATTATAAGTAAATCCTAGGATATCTGAATCAATGGAACATAGGTACTTAGTATGCAGGAAAAATGATTGAAAACTTCACATATATGTTATTATTTAGATAAGTTATTTTAATCAGAGTTCTAGTTCTAATTACTTTTTTATTTTTAAAAAATTGTTTGATGTAAGTTTATATCAAACCACGTGATGTATTTGAGGTATTTTAAATCTCCTTCGTTGCTTCCCCACGCAAGATAGAGAAATGAGTTTCATATTTTATCAAGTTGGAAAAGAACAAACAAATAGCAATTTTGCTAGTTATGTGATAGATGAACCATCTCCTCCCTGAGTTCACAGTATCACTTTCTTCCATTTGTCCTGCAATGTATTTGATTGCCACTCCAATGCTCCAAACTCTATTTGGTACCATCCTTTGTATTTGCTCTCTCAAGTGACTACTTGAATGGAAGAAACTGGTATTTCCAATTCCGACAACCACTATTAAGTGCCATCCTCAGGTTCAGATTGTAAACTTGTCACAGGTTGCCATCTTTCTGAAAAAATGGAATGTAACTCTTTCTGCTGCTTTTTAAATTTTGAAAAAAAATTTTCTTTTCTCTTGATGTGAACAAATAATTAACTGAAACTAATATAAAGGACATTTATCTTATTAAAGATGCCTGTAACATGTTCTTAATCAAATATTTGTTTCAAAATAAGGAAAACTCCCATCAGTTATTCTGTGAATAAATAATATAATCAGAAGATTAAATTAGAAATCTAATAGAGAAATAGGGAATTTGTAAATTTTAATATGAGATTTCTGAAAGTTTCATCACTATATTAAAAAAATTATCAAAGAATTATCTATTATGTTGAAAGTTATAACAAATGCAAGATAGAGAATATACTAAAAGCAGCCATTGTGTTAAGAAAATAAAGCCTTGTTTTATTTTCGTCATCATTTCACCTGTCCAATGAGATAAGCACAACTATTATCTCCATGTAGGTGAGTACCCTTAACCAGAACCTATGGTTCTAGACCAGAAAGGTTTAGAAATCTACCCAGAAGATGATGAGTACATGATGTAGACAGATGCAAAAACGAGGGGCCTGATTCAATCTTCTCTAAGAACTCCTTTCAACCCTATATTGTGTGTGCCTTCATTTCTTAACAAAACTCTGATTTATTGGTTTTCTATGTATGCCTGCCATAACAAAATACCACAGACCAAGTGGCTTATGTAACAGAAATATATTTTTTCACAGTTATGGGTTGGGATAGTCACGATCAAGGTGCCAGCAAGGTTAATTTCAAGGGCTTTCTCCTTGGCTTATAAATGGCCTCCCTTTGCACAGAAGACTCAGGTGTCTCTATCTCTTTTTATAGAAGCAGCAGTTAGATTGGACTAGGGCCCCACCCTAGCTGCTTCATTGTAATTTAGTCACCTCTTTAAAAACCTTACCTTGAAATACGGTTACATTCTTGGGTACATTTTGAATCTGGGGGTTGGAACTTCAGTGTATGAATTCGAGGAGAACACAATTCAGCTCATAACATATGATTTTGTTAGAAGATTGGGAATTCCAAATCAAAACCCACAAACAAACTATAAAAAATTCTATATTTTCTAAATTCTCTTGTACATAGGCAGATTATATGATATACTTCTAACTAAAAAGACATAAAAAAACATAGAGGGTCTCTAAATTATGATTTCTTTTTTGACAGCTCCTGTCTCAAGTTTATTTGTACAAATAGTACAGGAGGACACCAGTCCATCACAGACAGTAGCCCAAGGCTCACGCCTGTCCTTCCATCCTCACATCGAGAGACAGACTTCTACTCTGCAGCCTTCATGAGGGCCTGGCCACCTTTGGGAGCCAGAGCCTGAGCCTGAGCTGGAGGCAGAGTTGCAGCTGCATTCTGGGCCTTGGTTTGAGCTTTGGCCTTGGACTTTGCCTGGCAGAGCCTCCTGAGACCCTTGGCGGTATAGGCACGAGCATGTTTCCCAAGCTTAGGGTGAGTGATATAGGCAAATTGACTGAGCTTGCAGCTACCACCCTTTGGGATCTTGGGCTTTACCTCCTTTGACTTCACGAGGGCCTTGATAGCCTTAGCGCGTGCACTCATGGCCTTGGCGTTGTTGGTCTGCATCTTCTTCAGGCCCTTCTTGATGTGCTTCTTGGCAAAGCGCATGTTCCTCAGGAACTTAGGGTCCACCCTCTTAAGAGATTCATATCTTTATGATCAGAGTGTCTTGATGCCATTTTGGTGCCATTTTCAGGACTGGTTATGCATGGCATGGTTCTTGGACTTGGCCATGTCTGTACCAAAGCCCGGGGATCCAGAAGTGCCTGGGACCGGAAGACTATGATGCTTTAACTTATGATTTTTCGACTTTATAATGGTGTGAAAGCATTAAGTAGAGACTGTACTTTAAATTTTGATCGTTTCCCAGGGTAATGATATGTGGTACAATACTCTCTTGTCATACTGGGCAGCTTCTAGTCGGCCACACAATCAAAAGTATAAACAATCAATACTCTACAGATAATTATTTTGTTTGATTTTGCTCAACTAGGCTAACATATGTGTTCTGAGCTTATGCAAGTGTAGGCTAATATAAGTATATTGAGCACATTTAAGATATGCTAGGCCAAGCTATGATGTTCAGTAGGTTAGATGTATTAAATGCATTTCAACTTATGATATTTTAAACTTATGGTGAGTTTATTGGCATGTAACCTCATCATAAGTCTAGGAACATCTGTAGTTGAATGGGACTTTTATTATTCCCAACATGTATATAAAGAAACAGATAAAGATGTTAAGAAACCTGCACACATTATGAAGCTGACAATGATGGAAGCTGGGATATGCCTTCTGGTGTATAAAACTTCTACTACCCATTAAATGTAATCATAATCAATGGTGTGCAGTGGTGGAACTGTAGGAAGAATAGGAAAAAGAGACAGAAGCAACCCCCTGACAGTCCTCTCATCGAGTTATGCATTAACTACAGTCTACCTCCTCCTCAAGACAAAATTACTTATTTAACTTCTTAACACAAGCCACATAAAAATCTTTACTAATGTATGGTGTGTGTGTGTGTGTGTGTGTGTGTGTGTGTGTGTGTGTGAGCACGCGCACGTGCGTGCATGCGCATATACATCATATGCCCAGAAAGATTTTGATTACATAGAATAAGGTAAAATTTACATGGTGTGATTTAGGTATTTCTGGAAGTGTCATCAGCCCCAAAATACCTCCACAATGTTAACTTTACATTACTTGTATTTTTTGTCATTAAAGAAAAATTTCTGTGGGTTAACGTTCTGTGATTCCTTTGTATACAGAAACATAGTTATGTAATCATACATTATCCAACTACCTATTGATATTTTGTGAGATTAATTTACCATTTAGCCAATAAGCACTTTTTTTTTTCATTGTAGCCAACCTTCTTTATGACAGAAAAATGAATGACATGACACTTTGCAAGGACAATGTATTAGGTAAGAATCAAGAAGGAGTTACTAGTGACTAAAGTAGAATCTGTGAAAATGGTAATGTCATCCCATCAAACCTCTGTGGAAATCATGATGTCCATACAGAGAAGATGCTCCCTCTGTGCTTGGTGCTTTCTGAGCTCTACTTCCTTGTAGCTCACTGGGACTTCACAGAGAGTCTGGGAGCAAATTGCATCTCACCTTTTTTCTGTAAAGTAGAGTTAAGGGTGAGGACAAAAGTATGGAGAGCTACACAGGAGAGTGGGCCAGATGAGGGTGGTTGAATGGCTCAGTTATAGAGCTCTCCAGTAAACCACATAAAAGAGCTACTAACAGGGAAGTTGAAGTGGAACCAAGAAGCTTGCCTGCCAATTACTATGATTCAGGGTTTAAGGTTACCAGGATGGAGCAGAAAGAAAGAAAAACCACTTTACCCTTTCCATTTAAGTACCCTGACACAATCACTATTAGAACCCACATGCAAAAGAACATATGCCTTATGCCACTTGAATAGAATAGTAGTGAGACAAACATTGTACTGGTTATAGTGAACCATGTTGTATATTTCTGGGGGGTCGAATTTCCTGAATTCCTTTTCATATGAAGACAAAAATGTCAGTTTTAATTTTTCACAAGTGGAAAAGAACAAATAACACTTTCGGCTGGTTATATGACAGACACATTTACAACCCCCTGAGGAAAATGGGTATTTTATGAGTACTTAAAAGCACAAAAGAGTGTTTTGAGCAGTACTACTGAGGTAGGTACCTGGTGAATATAATCAAGTTAGAAGTTTTACGAAGAATTTGTTTAATAGAAAATACTTCATTGAGATTGGACATGTGTATAGGGATTAAATAAATAGGTGGTGATGGTGGTAATGAGGGTTGTATGTAGGAATCACAACAAAGACTAACATATTTGAAGATCGTGGAATTAATAAAAGACATTGATTGAGAAGAGAAGGAAATAAAATAGAATTATAATGAGTAGCTAAATGATGCAAGGGGAGATGTAGAGGAAGGCAAAGGCAATATTATAAAGAAATTTATGTTAATGTTAAAAATGTTTGTCTTTTTCTTAAGGGAAATGGAAAGCCATTAAAAGATTTTTGTCAATGAAGTCAGGCAATCAATTTTGCATTACAATGATTTTTCTTGTTTCAATATTTTAAAAAAATGAATAAAAAAAGAGCTTAAGAAAAACAGCTAGGAGACAATGACAGTAGCCTACATAAGAGATGAAGAAAGCTTGTTGACTAATGATGATAGCAGAGAAAAATACAAATTTAAGAACTATTTTAGTCTCCATCATTGTACTTGGCCATTGATTGTATATAAGAGTGAAGGGTGGTATTTTTGTTTCTTGTTTGAACAGCTGGGCTGGTGTTTCAAGGTAGGATAAAACAACCTTTTTTAAAAAAAATGTTTATATGTGTTGAGTTTGAAATTCTGCAGAGTTTTCCAAGGTCAGATGTTGAGTAATGATTTGGATTTAGAGATTTTGAACTCAAAAGAGCATGCTGACTCAGATATATACATTTGGAAGCCATTGGCATATAGAAAATAAAGCATTATAGAAGAGATTTTTAGAAAAAAATTACAGAGTTTAGCAAATAAGGGCCTAGGATGTAGCCATAAGTAACTTTCTCATTTAACAATGATTATAAAGGAGGTTGGCAAAGGAACCCAGTAACAGTAGGAGCTAGACAGTATGTAGAAGTAACAGAATAAAAGTGTTTTGGTAATTAAGGAATGATCTGCTCTGTCAAATATTGCTCAGGTATCAAGTAAGATAACTGGAGAATGTTTTTTAGCTTAGAGATCTGGGCTTTGATTTTGAAATTAAAGAAAGAGGGTTGTAGGGTTAGGGACAATATCAAGATATATGCTGTTTAGAAAGTGAGCATAGATATGAGAAAGACTATATGTTGCTTTCCCAACAGCTAATCTATATACCACCCCTACATGTGTGTACATACACACATACACATTTCTTCTTCACAAACCTTGCTGTGTATGAGCTTGTGACCAAATTTTGGTTATAGAGTCAAGAGTGAGTGCTTGCTAGGGAGATTTCTTCCTTAATATAAAGGAAATGCCAAAGCAAAACATAATTCTTCTCTGAATAAATCATGTTTGCCTATAAAATATAGAACTTCTGTGACCTTCCAGGGACCAAAGGAGAGACATTGCTGAATGTATATATCAAGATGGAAAGTGCCTGAACACTGATGACATTGTTAAGAGATTGACTTAGCTCCTCAATGCAACCCTATCCATTATATGAGTTATAAGACCCTTACAGAAAAAGTCACTTATAGTAGGTTCTGTGATGTTCAGCTAAAAATATCCTACGTGACACAGAAGGTTGGAAAATGGAGATATTAATTCTTCCAGAAAATTTTTATGTTGAGGTGAAAGATCAAAGAGAACCAAGATGAAACCAGTATATGTAAGTTTAACACTTTTTCTTTTTTCTTTCCTTTTTTTTTAAATTTTCTTTTCTATTTCCATTTATTTCCTTCTTTTTTCCTTCCTTCCTCCTTTAATCCTTCATTTTTTCCTTCTTTCCCTTCCTTCCCTTGCTCTTTCAATCTTATTTTTCCAAAAAGTGAGAATTAACTATGTTTGAGTATTAATACTATTGGAAAGGAGCTGGGGAAAGAAGTACTGAATGAGGAATGAGCAGAGACGATTAGAAGTAGAGAATAAGAGAAATGATGCTGAAGTGCTGAAAAAATAATAGAGGAGATGGAACACTAACAGAGGACATGAGATGATGTTAGAGGGGAAGTGGTGGTGGATGGTCTAATCCTTGAGAGGTTGTGTGGGAATGGACAGTAAGATCCGGAGCACATATACATCGTTGGTGTCAGATAAGACAAGAGAAATCCATCTTTTATGGTAATAGGGAGGAGAATGGGTGGGGTTAGAATCTGGTAGTTTTATACATTTGAAAGTTAGAATTTATGATAATTATAATCTGATTACTTCTATTTATTATCTTAAACAGGAAGTAAAATTAACTGCTGTGACTGATAGATAATCAGAGACACTATAGAGATGAGCAAGGAGAACAGAGCTGAACGGCAAATTGAGTTTAGAGTAGATTGTTTACTGAAGGCTTATGTCAAAAAACTCAGTTTAACTCTAGGTTGAAATGGAGGTTGATTTATGAGGAAGGGGAGACTGAGGAGATAGGTAACAATGGGCAACTCAGAATTGGCTTTTTCTTCATTATCTTGTTTGTTGAGGAATGGCATTCATAAGATGTCTTTGGCAGATAACAAAAATGAAGTTTTACATGTCCTTTGGAATTTAGAGTAAAAGATGTAAAGAGAAAGCTATATAGTATAAAAATTAAAGATGTGTTGATTTTAAACAGTACACAGCATGAGATTAATTCTTAGGAAAATATTACATTTCATGTGCTTTAAAAGAGATAGTACAGTCTCTCTGACTCATATAGAAAGGCACTTTATTGTTTATACTGAATATTTCAGGAAGCCATATTATATAAATCTAGGCTTCTCTTCATCTCAAAGAGAATGTCTTTAATTTTATGTATTAGGAAAATCCAATTAATTGATTATAAGATTATGAAAAGCTTTTTTTATTGGGTTTTGGGCTTTACAAAGTAGAATAAAAGTGTTTTTAGTTAAGAACAATTGCAACGAGATTCGAC